GATACAGTGGCTGCGATGATGGGCTCGAGTATAGCATGGATTGTGGGGCTGGTGCGGGATCGGGCAGTGTTTCGTTCTGCTGTGCATGGGTCGCTATGAGTCAGAAACGACTCGACGGCACTTAACAACAATGTTCTGCTGTGCGCATTGTCAACAAAAATAAAATAATTATAAAATAATTAAGAAAAAGAGAAGAGGCCAAGGTTAAAGCAGCTTACTACATGAGCTCATACAATCAAGTGAAGGGCTTTTTGTTAGAACCAAACCGCGGCTAGGTATATAATGTTGGTGTTTGCAGCTGGAGCAGAGATGGGAGAAACAGAACTATGGGCTTAAGATCAATCAAAATGAGAACTAGGATGGCCTCTTTCCTGTTCCCCTGAATGCTTTCTGTTCTTATCCTAAAGGTTATGAAAGGGTTTTTGAGTCTAGCTGAACAAACGAGATCCTGTTCCTTCCTTGGGAAAACTTGTTTATGTTGTATCTGTTTTTAGACCTCGTAAAAGTTGGTGAACTCAGTTCTTCTCCATTAGCCCAAATTCTTCCACACTCAGCAGATATCAACAGGAAAGGGCTTTAGTCATTGATAACAGTGAAAGCAGGGAGCTCACAAGAGGCTTAATAAGCTGGCTTCACTGACAGAGGGAACAACAGAAACGCAATCTCTAATTCATGTTTATAGAATAACATGTTTGAAAGGATAAGAAAAGATACCGAAATATAGGTAAATTTATTCTGACAGTGACAACAGCATCGTCTCTGACACAGCTCATCCTGCTCTAAGGATTCATTTTCCTGCTCTAAGGATTCATTTTGGAACTGTCAAAGCTTTCAAGCAGAAAATTCTTCTCAGTGGTTGAAACTTGCTTAAAGAAATTTCACTGTCCAAAGAAAAACCAAGTTACTTTTGGAACTGCTGTGGGGGAAGAAATCTCATGCAGTAAACAGGAAAATAACAGTGTCAGCTAGAAGGGAAGTGTCATCCCCATCCAGGGCCCCAGGAAGCAGGTGATGATTTAGTGAGGTGCACAGTAGGAGGCAGTGATATGGCTCCACTCCAGAGAGTTGGCTAAACATGCTCTGAAAGAGATGAAGTATCAGTATCAGAGCTGGTAACCAAACCAGAAACCAGGCAGACTGCCTCATTGTTCTTCCAGGGAGTAGCTGATGAGTTTGAATCACTGACTACATGTAACCAGCTATTGTCTAAGTGACTCTGACTCCTGGTGACCCATGTGTTGCACAGGGTTTTCAATGGCTGATAGTTCAGAAACAGATTGCCAGGTCTTTCTTCCAGGGTACCTCAGGGTGGAATTAAACCTCCAACTTTTTGGTTAGCAGCTACGTGGATTAACCATGTATCCCACCCAGGGACTTCCCAGTGGCCACAGCTATAGACATGGGTATTTATTTTATTTTATGGGTATTTATTTTATTTTATGGGTTATAATCCAATACTATCATTTTGTGCCTCTATTTCGCACAATTTGGTTTATTTAAAGGAGCTCTGATGCTCTGATGGTGTCGTGCCCAAGACATATGACTGCTAACCAGAAGGCTGGCAGTTCAAACCTACCACCTGGTCAACTTTACTACTTCTGTAAAGATAGATAGTGCCTTGGAAACCCAAGGAGGGGTTGCTATGAGCTTCTTTTTTGGTTTTTAAAATGATGATAGTATTAGATTACAGCCCTTAAAATAAAACAAATATCCAGGAATCCCTGCTCATAAAAATATGTAATTAAGTGAATGAATTATGAGGATGGTCAGAGAGAATTGAGAGAGCTTCCTATCAACTGGCAGAATATCAGTAAGTGTGGATGGAATAAGAAAAACAGAAAATCATCATTAGGTAAACATTACAGAATAACTGTTGTAGGCAAGGACTATTAACAAGGACTATTAATAGAGCCAAAAATTAGAAACACTTCTCATGGAATTACCAAGCAGAAGTTTAGTATCTTTAGAAAGAGGTCAAAGTATCTTACCACAAGGTATGTATTAATTACAAGGGGAAAGTAGCATCTCTACACTGTAACAACCTGGCCAACCCCCACCTTTAACCAGTGATCATATTTAACTTCATCAATAATAAAGCGCATAGACTTCATGTGACCCTGATATGAACCACTGAGAAGGGCACAGCATCGATTCTGTGCTATCCTGGCCTAAATGGAAGATTTCAATCTAATCATGAGAAAACAGACAAAGTGAGGGGCAATCTACAAAATAACTACTCTAAACTTCTAAAATGTTTAGGTCATAAAAGCCAAACACTGACTAAGAAACTGTCACAAAAGGGACTACTAATGCATGAACCCTGAACTCAATGTAGACTCTTAAACTGGATCTAATTACAGAAAAGGACAATGCTGGGGACTTGAAAATTCAAATATCTAATATCTCTATACATTAGTTAAGAGTATTCATTAGTTAAGAGTATTATACCAATGGTAATTAATTGTCTGCTTTTCATAGTTGTACTATGGTTAGGTAAAATGTTAACACTAGGGGAAGCTGAGTGTAAGGTACATAGGAAACTTTCTGTATTGTTTCTGCAACAATTCTGTTCATCTAAGATGATTAAGAAACACAAAGTTAAAATAAAATTGGGGTTAGCTTGGCTTGATTCAGCCAGAACCAGGCTGGGATGCACACAGTTCCAGGGTAATAACTAAGACTCTGATGGATACTACTGAAAAGAGAGTCATAGAAGAATTGATAATGTTGATCCCAGCCATTGGGAAGATCAGAGGACAATACTTCCTAAAACTATGACATTTCCCCCCACCACTTTTGACCATCCTTATCTATAGTTACATATTCACCAGCAACAATAGCTTCTAACAATGAAAAGGATGATGTGCTCCTTGTAGAGAAAACACTGAAAAGGATGATGTGCTCCTTGTAGAGAAAACACTGCAGAGGGAATCTGGAGAGACCATGTTCTATTTGTAGTTGCTTAGGAACAACTGACCCAAAATAAGGAAAGGAAAGTAGAGGGCTGCACTTGGAGAAAAAGAACAAGCCAGGTAAAACCCCCCCTTGGGTCTGCGGGAGAAAAGGAGCTCTCTCATTAGTTCCAGAGGCTTAAACAGTGAGCAAATGGCATTCTTCAATTACTTCCCTTCACTAAATTTCTCAAAACTTAAACAAATATACTGAACCATTCTATTTGTTCTACCCAAAAAAGAAAATCATATCTATAAGAATTTTTATAATTTATACTATTTCTACTTAAAAAAATTCACTTATTTGCATAATGTTATCCATTTGATTCATAGATATCATTCTTGTATTAGTAGTAATCTCTCACCAGATATGGATGTGTTTTTAATATGAAAGCCATGCTTGGAGCAAAATGCTTTGTATCTCTTGAAATGTAATTACACTCTTTCAGATTATTAGGATAATTACACATAATTGTGGAATGTCTGTCTATAGTCTCAACCAGCTCTCACTGTGGAGTTAACTCTTTTGGAAGCTCCTGGAATGAAGCTTGAAGAAAGACCATAGTATATCACTCTGAAGGGGTGTCCACTGCTTTATGATGATGGTGGTCTATACATACCTCCCACCGCATTACAACGAGACGTCATTTCCCAGAGGACCAGAGCCATGGAGTAGACATCTGTCTGTTTGAAGGACTCAACATTCTCCAAATTCATCCTGGACTCTAGGACTTCTGGGGCCATGTATCTTGCAGTTCCCACCTAAAGCAAAAACAGGCATTGAGGCCCATAACTAGATTCTAGTTGCATTCTAAATTCTAGTTGCATTTGTATTTTCAAAATATAGCTGATGCTTGTACCCTGAATGTGCAGATCATCTTAAAAATTCACAGTGCTATTGTAAATAATGAGACCTATTCAGAAATGTGCAGCATATGTGATGATTGTTTTTTAAAAAGCCCTGCAAGTCCTTCAAAGGCTCTAAACAAAGAATGCCAAAATAAGGAAATGCCAAACTCCAGGGCTAGCTTATCTAGCTCCATGATAGATGTCATCACATTCTTCAATAACATCCTGACAGATGACCTGGGAGACAACATCTATGACATTTTAGATGTTTATTTTTGCTTTTGAAAATTAAATATTTTTCAATCCTGAAACTCCAAGAAGATTTATGGTAAAAATAATAGCAGTAAGTGCCACCATTTTTTATCATTTCCAGGACTGTGTCTTAATCTTCTTTTCTTCCTTGTTTGCCCCACAGCACATTCCAGTGTGCCGAGGATGTAGTATAATTTCCTAAGATGTTTACTGGATCAAATGAAAGTATTTGCACATTAAGAGACTAAGAGACCAAATTTGGATCACTTTGTTAGTTTTGTGGATAGTTTTACTTTGACTACTATTTATTTGGCCTGTGCTAATTTCTATGACTGATCTTATACAAACAAACATGGGATCCACTGTTTCTAGGGACTCAATTGCTTAAACGTATGACACTGTAACATCAAACATGTATAGCTTGACACTGCACAAACTATTGCAACATATACAGCTTGACTAAATGACAATGAGGTCCAACCTCCTCTGAGGAATGTCAAGCAAATTAATATTACCATTCTAGGGAACATGTCTAATTGACATGTTATAAGAATTTTTTTTTCTTCTCCTTTTTAACAAGTCATTCTATGACTCCTTGCCCTGGCACATTAATCTGTCTATGTTTCAATACATTTATCTCAACACTGCATGTGCTGTCATGGACACAGAGGGATGACCACACAGTAGCTAAATGCTTCCGTCTCCCCACCTACTGAGAACTAAATGATGGTGTTCTTTATTGACTTCGACCTAATCTGTAGTCAAACTTTGAGTGTGTAAAAAATATGGGACCTCATCATTCATAAAGGATGCCTTGCAAATTTCTAATCACTTTCTGATAGCTCCTTTGTCCTAAAAGGTTTGCATTGTAATTCACAAAAGTGCTTTAAGAACAGAATTGTTCATTTACTCATTCCATTGTTCAGTGAACAAAGACTTTCACTGATCAAATCACTGTGCTAGATGGATGACCAAATGAATATAGGTTTCAACTTCAAGGAGATTACCAAGAACCATATATACATCAACAGTGCAGTGTAGAAAGAACTAAATAAATCACAAGAGAGAAAAATAAGAGGGATAACATACTAACCAAAGAAATGAAGAAATGAGGATTGACTCAGGGACCAATATATTTGCTATGGGTTAGGAAGGATTTCAAGAAATGGACAAATGCTATCCATTAGCAAAGGTACCCTGGTGAGAGAGACATGCTCAGGGTAGAAGCCCTAGAGAAATGTTCAGATTACAGGGCTCTTTGAGATGACAGGCATGAGATACAGATTAAAAAGTATAGTGTAGCCAGCAACAAGGTAAGGGGGAATTCAGTCACCTGTTCTAACTTACCTGCCCACTGTTGGCCAGGTCATCCACAGATAGAGTGGGGTCCAGACGCAAGGAAAGCCCAAAGTCACACAGACAGCATGTCAGGTCATTCTTTACAAGGATATTGGAACTCTTGAGGTCCCTGTGCACGATTGGCATTTTGGGCCTCCCACATGGGGTGTGATCACTGTGCAGGTGAGCAATGCCCCGGGCAAGGGAGCTGCCCAGCTTGCGCAGGTCTTCCCAGCTGATGACATGCCGAGTGAGGTACTCCTGTAGGTTGCCCTTGGCATGGAAGGCGGTGATGAGCCAATACTGCTTTCCTAGCTCCATCTTCCGCTCCTCAGCCGTCAAAAACTGGAGTATGTTCTCGTGCTTCAGGTTGATATCTGAGAAGATGTCTTTCTCTGTCTTCCAGGAGGCATACTCCTCATAGGGGAAGATCTTGACTGCCACGGTCTCAAACTGCTCTGAAGTGTTCTGTTTCAGCTTGGCCTTGTAGACTTCAGCAAAGCGGCCCTTCCCCACCAGGGTATCCAGCTCAATGGGCAGCAGCTCCGTGTTGTGGTTGATGTTGTTGGCGCAAGTAGAGCTGATGTCTGAGCGGTCATCTTCCAGAATGATGGCACAGTGCTCACTGAACTCCATGAGCTTCCGTGGCTTGTTGGTCTCCCAGGATGGGCTCAGCTTCTGTTGTCGGTGAACCCGATAGCAGTAGAAGGTGATGATCACGGCTATGGCAATGCCCAATGGTGGCAGAAGGCTGACGCCCGTCACTTGGACAATGATTAACAACAAATCAGGGCTGCTGGTGTTATATTCTGATGTGGAAACAAAACAAAGGAGAGAAGTGGTTGGGGTCTGTCTGTACACAATGTCAAGAAATGGCCCATACATCAGGCATTTATAGCATTTACCATTTCCAGTTTTTGTGGATAATATGTTGTGAATTTTTATTCTAGGGATGCTAATATGTGCTAGTCTGGTACTCCCTGCCTCTGGCTATCTATTCAATGTCTTATACTCATCCTTCAAATTTCAACTTAAATATCACTTCTTAAGGGAAGGTAGTGTAGTGGCTAAGGCACCTGACTGCTAACCAGAAGGCTGGCGGTTCAAACCCACCAGCCACTCCCCAGAAGGAAGATGGGGCAATCTACTTCCGTAGTGATACTGCCCTGGAAACCCAAGGAGGGGTCGCTATGGGTCGGGTCTGACTCAACGGCACATAACAACAACAATAGGGAGAATCTGAAAAATGTCTTATATATTCTTATAGCAGCCTGTACTTGGACTGAAATATTTACTGGGCAGGAAATATGTAAAGTTCAGTGAGAGTTATGTGCTAGACTCCTACATCATGCAAGAATTCCAGAATTCTGTTGTTTTATATACCCTGTACTTTTCTCCTATGTAACAATTTAGCACAATTTCAATTAAATAACTATGACTCCACTAACTGATTTAATATATGTTTCCTCCTACTCTTTTTTATTCCCAGCAGACTGGGAACTCTAAGTTGGCAGGCATAACATCTTTCTTCTTTACTGCTGTTCACAGCATGTAGCACACAGGATGTCCTTAAATATGTGGTAAATAAATGACCAAAGCATTTACGTAGTGTTAACTAACCTGAAAGCACTGTGGGACCTTTGGGAATATAGCATGAATGATATGGCTCCTGCCTCCAAAAAATATCAAAAGAGTAGCTTGTGAAAGTGCAGAGGTTGCCATGGTTTTGCCATAGGCTGTTCTATTCCTGAATTCTACTTTCTCTGCTTTGATCAACATCCAGGCTTCCTTTAAACATCAGCTCTGAGCCTTTTGGTGGAGGGAAAAGAAGTTTGTGTCTCTTTAGAAGTCAATTATCTTTATACCAAAAAACCAAACCCATTGCCTTCGAGTTGATTTCAACTCATAACGACCCCCACTGGGTTTCCGAGGTGGTAAATCTTTATGGAAGTAGATTGCCCAGTGTTCCTTCCCTGGAATGGCTGGTGGGTTTGAGCTGCCAACCTTCTGGTTGGTAGTCAAATGCTTTAGGCACTGTGTCTCCTGAGTCCTTAATTACTCTTATACCCACCCAATATTACTTCTTTCCAGTGTGCATGCAGTTTGTAGTTTCTTGGAATTGGCGTATTTAGTAGCAACAATGGAAACACTTCTATAGATGTGAGTAAAGTTACTAAAGAAGGGGATGCAGTGAGTTTCCTAATGCTTGTGGGTGGACAGAAGAGAATCTTTAGTGCTAGCAACCAACTACATTATCTTGTATATCAAACTTTGGTTCATGAGGTAGTCTCGGTTAGCACTGATTAAATAGTTTTCTTCTTGGAAGACATGGATTGAAATGTTTAGTGGGCATGAAATAAGTGAAACGGTAGTCTCAGTTCACTGAGAGTTACGTGCTAGACTTCTACATCAGGCAAGAATGCCAGAATTCTATTGTTTTATATACACCATATCCTCCCTTGAAAGTATGTAATAACAAGCAGGTTTTGTGGTCAAATGCTAGATCTGTTCATTAAGTACATGATTACTGAGTGGGTACTATGAGCATTACACTGCCCTCAAAGAGGTTATATTCCAGTAGAAGAGTTAGGTCATATATAGAAATGTCTAGCAATATAAGGCAGTCTGGAATGGGAGCTAACTGGGTACAGTCTACATGCTCGTGGACTGGAATAAAGCTTAGAGGGACACGGAGGGCACAGTGGCAAAGACTGCCTTTGAGTAGGCTATGAGAGATAAGAAAACGTCTGTGAGTAGAAAGAATGTTAATAATGAAGGTATGGAAGTAAAAAAGTAGAACTTATTTGAAGAAGAGCAATTCTCCCAAATGGACTGCCTTGTACAGGCAGAAAAGAAAAAGACTGAGTAAGAAGTATAGAATCAGAATGAATGTCGAAGAGGAAATTTGCAATTATCCAATTGGCAGTTTGCACTTACTATAAATTTTTTTAGCCAAAAAAAAAGATAAGCATACAGACCAGGTGGAATGGGGATACCATAATCCCTCAAAAGGAACCACGTACTTAAATTGCATGTGACAACATCACTCAAGAACACATTGAGAACTGAAGCTAATACCGTATCAATTTGGAGCATTTAGGTTTAATGATACACAACCTGTACTTAAAGTAAATTCTAAGAGGGAAACACCAGCTTCCATCGACTATATACTTTGGATGAAAACTTTAGGTTTAAGTCTGTATGATGCCACTGGAAACTGGAAAGGTAATGCCAAAACACCAGAATTACAGTACTTGGGAAAAAGATACAGTAATGCATCAAAAGGAATGTTTATAAAGGGATGAAATTCGGAGACTGACTCAAGAAAACCCAAATTCTTACTTGTACTGGAAGACTTGAGTGAGGACAAAGGAGAAGTGGGACTAAGGATGGAGATGAAACAAAGCAATTAATTACAGAAAGGACTAGAACTGAAAAAGGAAAAAAAAAATGCTCTTGCAGAGAATTATAGACTATCTCAGTTATTTGGCTAAGTATGAACCTGGAAAGCACAATTAAGAGCACAAATGAAATAATTTTTAGGTGCAACCTCAGATCACACTGCCCTCTCTCTGAAATGCCATCTCTATGATCTGAATGTATTTCAATGAATGTGTTTGCTTAAAGTACCCGCTCATTTCAATCCTGTCTCTAACTGCAAGATGTCATATAATCATAAATCTGTTTGTTTGATTATCTGATTGTTTCTCTCATGTGAAGGTAAGCTCTATGCAGGTAAAGGCCAGGCCCCTTTTCATAGACCCAAGACCTGAGTCAGGATGGGGCACTCTACAATACAAAGACTTACTGATTAGAGAAATTGAGTGGATGACTGACTTCTGTGGGAGAATATTCCTTATATTTTTATCTACTATAGCAGAGACTTGCCAAGGGTCCATGGCATGTTTTTGTACAGCCCTGAAAGTTAAGAATGGTTATTGTGTAAAATACTAAGGAGAATAAATAACAGAGATCATATCTGGCCCACAAAGCCTAAAGTATTTACTATTTGTCCCTTTATAGAAAGTTTGCCAACTTCTGTGTTATAAGCATAATTTTAAACATCTGTAATAGATTGGTAAAATTTTGAGAGACTTCATTTTGGTCTAATATGAGTATTTCTTTTTCACATATGGATGCAACACGATTATAAAATTTTAAATATTAACTGCATAATTACTTAGCTGTGTCTCCAATTCATTAGAGAGTATAAAACATCTAATAAACTTCATTTATTGCTGATAATTTTATTTTATAATTTCTGGTCTTATATGAAAAGGTCTTTCATGCTAATTTCTATTCCTTTTCAGGAAAAGAAAACACAAAAGCAGGAATACCCTGAAGTTTATGTGTTGCATTCACTAAAGAAGAGTCTAGAAATCCCCAGTTCAATGTCAGAAACTAAAGTTTTACTTTCCCCTCAAATTTCCTGTGATTTCTTTTTGAAAACCTACATGTAGAAATTTTGAGGGGAAATTACTGAATAACACCTGTCAATCTTGAAACTTCAAAGAGATGATTAAAAAAACTGTAACAATTGTAACAATAGCAAAGCTACTGAAAGGAAGCTTTGGGATGTGGCTTTATCTAAACACACCATCTCGCAGTATTAACCCTTGGGCTGCTACTCTAAAATCCAACAGGTATGGGTGAAAGCTAAGTGGCTTCAAAAATCTCCTCTACTCGAGCTGACAAGGGACAAGGTTGTAGTCACTTCTTGGTCACAGTCAGCTACCCAGAGAACTGAGCAGTTGAACCTGTGGGCTCAGGACCATAGTCACAGGGGACAGCAAGCTCAGTTGGCATAACATACTACACAAAACATTGTTCCACCTCCTACTTTGGCAAGTAGCGACTGGGATCTTAAAAGCTTGCAAGTAGTCATCTAGAAGCAACAGTGAGTCTCTCCTAGTCCAGAGCAAAGAAGAGAAGAAAACCAAAGATTCGTGGAAACAATTAGTCCTAGCGACTGGTACACCATGTGATCTGCAGCTTATACAACTATGAGAACAGAAGAACTCGATGGTGCCTGGCTACCCCTGTCAACCACTCAGAGGGGGATCTATGTAGGAGATTCTGGACAGAGAGGGAGAAGAATGTGGAACAAAACTCAAAATCATTTGGGGAAAAAAAAAGGGGGGAACCAGGTTTGCTTGTCTATAGAGCCTGGTGGAACCACTGAGACTATGGCCCCTAGCTGCCCTTCAGGTCTGGAACTGAACCCACACCTATGGCTTCCAGCCAAACAAAAGACAGGCATATGAGGTGAATATTTATCTGAGGTAGATGTACTCCTTAGAGAGAACAATCATGGGAGAAAGAAGTGCTGTTTATGCACAGGGAGACAGCTCAGGGGGCAGGAGTGCATGGAGGAATGGACACAGGGAAGAGGTAACCATCGGGAGGAAGTGGGAGGGGAACTGTTTCATTGTGGTAAATTGTGGTCAATGTCATGAGACAAAGTGTATTGAACTGCTGTATGGAAAGTGAACTTGCTCTGTAAATATTCACCCAAATCACAATAAAAAAAAAATCTCCTCTACTCACAGACCAAAATGCCATGTTGCTTTCAGCCGACACCAAATTGCACAAACTCATAGACTGAGCATACAGACAGATACATATTGAGGTTATGTGCTTATATTAGTTTATCTTTAATTAACATAAAAGTACTATAAGGTAGACACTACTATTATTATAAAATCCATTTTACAGATAAGATTTCTTAAGTAATTTCACAAGATTGTAATCTTAGGCAATAACAAAACTGATATTTTAAAAAGTGCTGTCTGGTTGGAGAGACCCACAT